GTGTGTAGTATAATTTATAGCATTGTTTCTTGTGCTACAAGGACAAAAATTTCATAAATCATTTGCACATGTATTAGTTTAGAACTATACCAGATCGACATATGAGAATACTTTAAGAGATTTAGCAATCGTCATAAGTATAGTACTCATTATGGCTATCGGAACCATTTTTCTCAACCATGAGTATTGTAAGACTCTTGTTTGAGTACTAGTCCGTTTTGATGTTGTCAAACGTCTGCCATACATGGGGATTATAAAGGCAACACTTGGGCGGCTAGGGCCTCTTAGAAAGGGAAGCTTGACAATGCAAGACTGGGAATGTCCTCTTATTAACAATAGGAAATATGTCTTTATTGTTTACAAGGCCTCTCGAAAAGCGAGACTGTGAAAATGCATGGTCGTGCTTAGATTAATTTTAGAAATCATCTATACTTGACAGTCAAACTCGGAATATCGCAAAACACTTCTAGACGTAATAAGGATGACGATAAATCTTACCTTATAATTCATGAAGAGGCATTAAGTGACATAGGAAAAAGGCAATACAAATACAGCACACTTGTCCGGAAGGACAAGTGGAAGATTGAAAGGAATGGTGTTCTTCGACCAAGTGTATTATTTCGATAGAGGGTTCGGAATTAATTAGGAAAGCTAATTATTCAATGAAGTCAAGTAATCGGAACGCCTAGCTAGAGACCGCTTCTGATCAGTAAGATTAATATAATTAATCCTACAGCTTGCTCTTGACTAAACCCTACGGGTCACACCCAATCATGTAACCGAACAAAGGCGACGAATTAATTCGAAGGATTAAATAAGTCGATAAGGATTTTACGAACTCAGACGTTGGATTTCGAGCTTAGAGCGTCGAAGCCGAGCGTCGAACATCGAGTCGATTCAATGAATCGAGAAGATGATAAAATAAGTAAAATGACAAGTCAACGCGTAAAGTCCTAGCCTATCAATTGGCCTAGCCAAGCGAGGGCTAGGCGTACTAGGCTAGCAAGGCTGCTAGCCATGTGCTTGCCTTGGCTGCAAGCCCAGCAACCAGGCAGGTGTGCTGGTTGGGCGAGCTGGTCGAGCAATGCACTCCTAGCAGCGCTAGCCCGCAAGCTCGCAGCAAGGGCACCAGGCCAGCACGCAATTGCATGCAGCAAGGCTGCTGGCCCAGCAGGCTTGCATGCGGTGCCAGCCAGCGAGGCCATCCCGTAACACCACAAACCCAGCAAGGCTTGCTTGGCAGGCCCAGCCGAAAACCAAGGCTGCCAGCGCGGCAGGCCTTGAGGCCCAAGGCTAGGGGTGTGCCGTGCACATGGGGTTGTTGGGGCTTCCTTGCTCTTCAAGGGGAGGGTTTGTGGTCCTTGCCTAACCCCTCCCTTGGATTGATATTTGTCATTTGCTTATTGTTAATGCTAATTAATTTAATTTAGAATTAAATTAAAAGCCTGTTTACTCACTTTTCTAACTCCCCCACATGGAAAGATGATTTAGGATTTAGGGAATGCTTTGCCTATAAATACCAACTTGGATTTTGGGAATTAACAATTTGAATAGAACTCAATAAGGCATCTCTCAAAAGCGTGAGAAAACCTTTAAGTTTGTAAAACTCCAATTTTGGCTCGGTCTCGTCTGAGCTACGATATAGGAGCCGTGTTTAGTCGCGTAGGTGTGCAAAGTAGGAGGATTCGCGCGTGTGTGTCTTGAGCTTTCCGGGGGTCGTGCTCGGGTTCGTGTGAAGCACGCTATGAGGGTAAGAATGTCTCTTCCCTTGTTTCTCTCTTTCCCTTTTTATGTGTGTATCGCTTTATTAATTGCATGTTTGTTTGTTTAGTTTTATTAATTATGCATGCGGTCCGGACGGGTTTTGGTTTCGCACGGTGCTCATGCATCGTAAAACCCGACAGTACGTTGGTGCTAACTCTAAGTTTCCCTATGTTTTGCAGGGTAGCTGAAGAGGTTATATTCGATGAAGACAATGTTACAAAATGTAAACTTTGATCCCTTCCTACAAAGTATTATGCTACATTTATAGCATATATTTATCTTCCGATCATCAAACTCAACTTTAATTTACAAGATAAATGTAAATTTTATGAATTTCAAAAGTAGATACAAACAAAGTAAAAGTAAATAGATTATATTTTAAAGTAGTTATTTTTTATTAAAAGTTGACTTCTTCATTTGTCTGATGCAGGTTTCAGCCATCAAATGATATGGCATGGTAGACCAGCCACTCACTTCTTCATTCCTAATCTCTTCATGGATAACATACAGGTAATTCATCACAATCCCTTTTTTAATATTTGTGTCAGTGTATGTACATGAGTATACGATTGTTGTTTAGTATGAGTAATATTGTTATTGTGAATTTGAATCATAGTTTTTCCTTAGACCTTGTTTCCTAACCACTAGCAATTGTCAAATTTCATAGAACGATCATAATCCTAAGTGGTCTCTAAAGTAAATTAAAAAGAATCTAAAATGAATTAAAAAAAAAACCTTTAAAGTAAACCTATTAGCTCAAATAGTAGAGCACTAAAAATACAACAAGCCTCTCTCCCCTCTCCTTTTTCCTCTCTTCTAAACCCTAGCCTCCATTGTTGATTTTGGAGGGGCTTCCATCAGTTTTAACCGGTGGAAAGCCCCAGTTCTTATTTCGCTTCTTTTTTGTTCTTTTAGGTTTATAATAATGCTTCCTCTTTTTAAGAGGAACTTTTCTCCCTCGGAAGAAAGAGTTTTCGATCTCCTTCGAAAGACAAGGTTTATCTCCTCTTTTCGAGGGAGAAACTTCTTAATTTTAAATCCATGATAATAGATCTAATGGATTGTCGTGAAATTATTTCATTGGTGGAAAATTTTGCGAGATCGCAAAGGTTATCAAGTTTTCGTATACAATTGGATGAATCAGAAGGAAAATATCCTCATGACTACAAAAGATCGTTAGATTGTCTCTCTAACAAGCTAAGGCTGTATTTTCCAGCAATATAAGCGGGAGATGCTCCACAGTGCAATATCTACTCGACGATCGTAGTTTAATGAAGGAATTTTTTATTTGATTCAATATATTATGTATTTTTTAAAATCAATTCTCCTTTGTAGATGTCGTATGACAATTTATTAATGAATTAATTTTACTATTCAAAAAAAAAAGTAGTAGAGAACTATGCGGATGCATAGAGGTGTAGGTTCGATTCCTACCTAGGTTATCTTTAAAAATAAATATAAAACACACTATAGTAACTCAAATATCTCAAAAGTAAATTGAAATAGCTAAAAGTTAAATTAAAATAACTAAAAATTAAATCAAACTAAAAAAAAAAAAAGTTCTCCAACACAATCATAAGGAGCACCTTATCAGTAGAAATCTTTCTGGTTCCGTAGGTGTTAACAAATACAAACAATGGGTTAGAGACACCAATGTCATATAATACATGCACAATAACCTTTCTAGCCAGCCTATTGGCTACGATACTCTTAGCAACATGTCTAACAACATAGGATCCACCTTAGTTGGGTCTTTGCCATAGAAAGCATTGCCACTATGAGCTTTCCATCCACCATATATGTTGATAAATATCCGATATCTTTTCAATACCTGTTAGTTAGAAATTGTGTTATAGCCTTGTATAGTGCATAATCTTAGTAGTTGATTTCAATCTGACATCATTTCAATATTTGTTAGTAAGAAAGAGAAAGAGAAAGAGAAACTTGTTATACATGCCCTTTCATATCATATATACTTTTAAGTTATCCTTTAATATGTCTCAAAAGTAGATACAAAATATTAAAAAGTAAATCGAAATTTTCCAAAAGTAAAGTAAATAAAAATGAATAGTAATCAACTAAGAAAGAAGTATATGAATTTAGGTTAAAGTAAAGGTTTTCATTTTAAATGTATATAAAGCAGTACAAAAAGTAAATAATCCTATATTTTTGGTAGAAAGCTAGTCAAACAATTATAGATAATAAACCTACGTGAGATTCGAACCCACATCCTTTGCACATTTGCACAATGCTCTACCAATTGAGCTAGTAGGCTAGTATATATCAAACATTCGAAATAAAGGAAAAGTAGATAAAAAAAATCGAAAAAGTAAATAAAATTATCGCATAAGTAAATAAAAAATATATATAAACTTAGATTTTTTTCACTTCAATTGATGTACAAACACTAACATATATATAAAGTTGGATATTTATATTAACACTTGGGTGTAATATTACAAAATTTATCCAAAAATATAATACGACTATACAAGGCTACATAGTTTATTCACGGAAACACAGAGTAACATTTACAGCAGCAGGCGGCAGAGCAGATTTAGCATAGCAACAACAGGCAGCAGAGCAGAAGTAGCATAGCAGTAGCAGATCGCAGAGCAGAAGTAGCATAGCAGCAACAAGTGGCAGAGCAGAAGTAGCATAGCAGCAGCAGGCGGCAAAAGCAGCAAGCCATGTCAGGGTAGCAACTGCAGCAGCAGCCTTGGAAGGGTAGCAGCTGTAGCAGCCTTGGCATGAAAGCAGCACTCAGACACAATTAGGGCTGAGCAAAATTATCTGAAAAACCGAAAACCCGAACCATAACCGAATCGAAAATTAGGGTACCCGTTCCGATAACCATAACGGTTCGGGTACCCGATCCGATAATTTTAATTTGTTATCGGGTAGGGTTATTGGGTATCATTTTAAAATTAACGGTTACCCGATCCGATCCAATAAGCAATTTTTTCTTTTTTTTCGTACTCAAATCTATTTATCCAAAATCTAAATTTTTACTATACTTACTTCATAATCTAAATGATTAGTAATATTATAAGTAATTTGGTCATAATCATGTGGTATTATTGTTAATTAGTGTTGAATAATATCATAATAACTAAATTATAAAGTTTAACTTTTCATTATTGGATATCATATATTGGGTACCCGATAACCGATCCGAAAATCCGGGTACCCGAACTTATCGATTCGGTTAATAGATATCATTTTTAGTGTTATTGGTTATCGGGTACCCGAACCGATAGTGTTAACGGTACGGGTACCAGACCCATGCTCACCCCTAGCCACAATTCAGGTCAGACACCGATTCTTGATGCACTCTCATAATCCTGCAAAACCAAGATGCACAACTCGAAGTACATAATAGACTTGGTTCTTTTTTGTCCAGCCTGTTTGCAGCCCACAAAAACCGATCAGCAAAGGAGGAAGTTGGTGCATCGGCTAACAGATCATAAAAGTTATTATGAGACCATATGTTCACAGCATATCAATTTGATAATAACTGGATGTCTTAGTCATTTACTCAGTGAAAGGCATTCTAATTCCAATACAGCTAAACAACCCTATTCAAATATATCTAGTAAAACTTCAAGCAAAACCTCTAAAAAATATTTAACACACACACACATACACAATTATTCATCAAATTACACTTTGCCCACCCAAACAACAGCCACCAACACACAGCACCCAAGGTTACAAAGAAAACCCTTGACACCCTCACGACTTTTACCCACACATTAAATCCCACGCAGCCACTACCATAAACTCCATGAACACAAGTATATACCACACTCAGTCACTACCATCAACTCAAAAGCAATTACCATTAACTTAAAAGTAATTAAAATTAACTCAAAAGTAAATAAGATAACTCGAAAGTAAATAGAATTTCACTGACATCTAGGCATTTCTCCAAGCTATCACAAGTTAGCAGAAAATTCAATTTGAAAAGATCATCAGCCACTAAAACACTCTTCACCATTAGGCTAGGTGAGGAAGTGAGAAGGATGTTAGCTTGCCTTCCTCTAAGTAAGCACCTGACATTGTAATGAGCAATTGCAGCTTTCAAATTACTTCAAAAGCCAATTGTATCTTCCTTGAATTCATGGATTATAGAATGATTGAACACCTCATTATAGCCCTAACCAATTGTGAGATCAATTTGCAGACAAATCTAGATCTGAAAGCCACAATCAAGCACCAATATCAAATTACTTCAAAAAAGAAAATCAAACCAGAATGGTGCAAATTTAGCAATTAAAATGTATAAACTATACCAAACGAATTATAATTATTACAACCATATAACAATAGAACATAAAATTACTACCCAAACAATATGGAATCATAAATCTAATTAAAATAAGCGAAAACAAACATCAATCGAACAAAAATTATCAAAAATGAACCCTAATTTCAACAATCAAAATTGCAAATATGCAAACATTTAGTTGCAAAATCCCTAAAATATCAATTATAATCACAAATACTCAAACAAATAATTGGGAAATCAAATTTGCAAAAACTTGTTTCAAAATCGAATTGAATCAAAGAAAACAACAAAAAAGAAAATAAATCAACTTACCTTCCCATTAATTTGCCTAAGCAACAATGATCATAGATGAGAATTTGCAAAGTTGACAACGTGCGGCAAGATTAGAGAGATCGAAATAGAGAGAATTTGCAGAAGGAGAGAGAAATGTAATGAAGAGAGAGAAAATGCAAAAGAAGATAGAGAAAGAAGATGAAGTTGCAAATGCGTTAGGACGAAGGTCATTCAACGCTAAAATTAAATTACAAAAATGCCTTTAATGAGGCGCGTGGAATGTGAGCCGTTAGATTGAGCGCGATCAACGGTCGAGCTGAGTTCCTAGTTCCTATTATAGACATAGTTTCTCACATGATCTTGATTATATATATATATATAGACACACACACACACAAATATACATATATATTGTAATACCCTGGAAAATTCCTCCTTTTAAAACACTCTTTTCACTCTAAACAAAACTGATTTTAGGAAATAACCAAAATATTACCGCCACCGTGATAACGGCTAAGGCTATTTTCAAAGTCACACAGTGGAAGATTAAATTAAAAACCAACTTTTCAAAATAAATAACTTGAGTTCACAACCTCAAAACATAAGTAAATTAAACATTCACAAGTTGGAACCAATATAATATGGCCCTTCAAAAACCAATTTTAAAATATAAAATAACAATTTTAGTCCATAAATAATAATCAACAATTCAAAATATAAAATTAAGCAAGCATAACCGATAACTCTCTGCACTCATTCCCTTCATGCTTCAAGTACCTGTCACTTTATCTTTATTTCAACCCCTCTACTCACCATATAAATGGGTCATAGTAGGGTCAATCCAAAGAAAAGCCAAACACAAACACAAAAGTACGAATTAGCAAAAACTGAGTACATATGCACCACACTAACATGATTATCCTAGCAATAATAAATAAAATATTCTCGTCATACAATTCACAAGTCAACTTACCTTTGACTCATAACAAGCAATATCAATTATTAATAAATAGCTTTGGATTACGCATCGAATGGGTTTCGTTCCTTAAAAATAGCCCATTAAAATATTGAGCTTCCAATTAAGCCCTAATGTTTTGAGCTTCTAGGCAGAGTAAAGCAGATTTCAGCAGAGCAGAGCATAGCAGTTTTCATTATTATTATTATTATTATTATTATTATTATTATCATTATTATTATTATTATTATTATTATTATTATTATTATACTACTACTACTACTACTACTACTACTACTACTACTACTGCTGCTGCTGCTGCTACTTCCTTGACTCAATCTCAACTTAAATGAATGAGTAAATAAATAAACTAAATTCTTGACTCAACTCCAATAATATATGTGTGAGAATAAAATCATGAATCATACTTAATAATTCTAACTTTAGCTCTTCTAAACATACATAAGCCTTGCTTATTAATTCATGCTTTCTTGATACTTGAAAATAAAACGCACTTCTATGATTCGTACATATTCAACTTATATTATGCCTCGGATAACATATTCACATGCTTGCATAATAATTCATGATCAACCAACATCAAATCCAAGCATTTAATCAACCAAACATGCTACTAATTCATCACTTGAAACATGCTTTACATCCCTAGCATGATACTACACATATACAATTATTTCAATGCGCATACGTACCTTGAATAAAGCCTAAACTCGACCACACTCGCTAGGAATCACCTAGCTCAAACCTACAAATAAAAATACGTAACCATAATTAATCCACTATTCTAACAAATTTCGAGCAACTATAATATACTTTAAACCTCACTAATTAACCCAATTTAATGGTTTAAAAGCCTTAAAACCTTTTCTTTAAGTAGGTACTTAAAACTCTTTCAAAAAGACTTAGTTTTCATGACTTAAATAAAATTCCAGCATATTTATTTAATATAAAACATCACTATTAAACCAGAAATCATACTTAAATCATTAAAAACCTTTTCTCTTTTATGAGTAATCAAACCCTAACATAATAATTAAAAAGTAGGGTGTATAATTAAATTCTAGCATTGATTAAGGACTTAAAACTCATTTAAAACATGTTCTAATCATTAATTTAACAACCACAACAACCTAGAATCAAACCCTAATCATAAACATTAAATTCCCAAATTCTAGGGTTTATAAATTGGGGTTTTAAAAAAAATTAAAATCTGAAAATTATAAGAATAAATTAACAAGATCAACTACCCAAAATCAACATCTCAAATATAATTAAAATCGTGCTTTGAATTAATTAAAACAAGCTTATAAATTAAAATAGGAGAAAGAGTTTTTTTTCTTTTACTACCGAAATCGCAAGGAGAGGAGAGAGGAGAGAGTGCACGGTGGTCGACTGGTGGTCGACGGTGCTGCTACTAGCCGCTGATGGTCGGTTGTGGCGCCGGTGGTCGTCGACCGTGAGGAAGAAAGGAGAGAGGGGCGTGGAAAAGAGAGGAGAAAAAGAGGAAAAAGGGAGAGAGAAAAAATAAGAGAAAAAGTTTGGGGTTTTGTATAATCTGACAATTGATTTTTGAGAATGAAATCCTTGAGTTTTATAGGGTAATTATATCCCCTTTAAAAAACCAAAAACACTTATTAAAAAAATAAATAATTTATATATATATAATATTATAAAAATACGGAGTGTTTACATATATATATATATGAACACTGTTTTTTTTTTTTTGGAGTTTATTTTTTTAGAGATAAAATAAAATAAAAGATTTATAAAACTGAATATTTTTGAATGATTTATGCGTGGTAGGTAGAATTTAATTTTTTTTTTTCTTTAATTGAAGGAATTTGGATAAATAAGTTCGGTTCTTTGTATATGCATGTAATTTATTAGTATATATATATGCAATGTTCTTTTTTTCTCTACTTAAAAGAAAAATTGTATAAAGCTGCTTGTATACTTTATATTTGTATTTAATGTTCTTTCCGCGTTTTTTTTAAAAAAAAAACCAGGTGTATCATGTGCACGGTATACCTGAGAGTAGGAACCACTGATTGACTGAGACTAATTAGCTGAGCATACACAATAGCACCCACGTCACTGCCCACGAGTGTGGCTCGAAGAACCCCTCCTCCGATGGTCAAGTAAGTATGTGTTCAATTAGTGAGAGTGTCTATTTAGTGAGCGAAAGTATGGTGACAGTACAAATTAAATTATCTAACCACTTTTCTGGTGTACTTGATGTACTATATATAGGTGTACAAACAAGGCTGAGATGGAGCTGCTCGGGTTAGCGGTTCACTGACTTATGACAGCTTCTGACCTCAGTGGTGTCAAACTAGAGATCGGTGCACGATATTCCTTGGATGAGCTGGAAGCGGGAAATAACTCAGCGCGAGCTACCCATAACAGTATCATTATTAGATGGTGTAATGGTATTATAACACCTTGTGATAGTATAAATATATAGTATAAATATATTATGATATTTTTCTTATAATATAAATAGAGTTTTATGGACTAATTTAAGCAAATTTAATGGTTTTAATGTGACTTCATAGTATCATTGAAACTCTATTGATACTATATATATATATATATATATATATATAGAAATAGGATCATACGAGACCACCCCCCTTATGCGAGACCAGTTTCTTATATGAGGACTTATTATGACCATTGGATCAATTACATCCAACGGTCACAATTCAATCCTAAATTCAACAAAATCTTTCTCGCGCATTTTCTCTCTCCTCCTTCATCTTTCTCGCGCATTTTCTCTCTCCTCCTACCTCATTCATGCTTCATTCTCTCCCTCACTCACTCACAGTTTTTGCTCTGAAATTTCATCAAATCTTCGTCAATCTTCTTCAATTGTTCTTCAATGTAAGTTCATTGTTTGTTTTTCAATTAATTTTAAGTTTATTGTTTGTTGATTTCGGTTTTATGTTCGTTTTAATTTATGCTTTTTTTTTGCACATTTTCGTTTTGATTATGTTTTAGGTTCTTTTTTTGTTGATTTCAGTAAAATTTTCGCATATTTGAGTAATTATAAAGTCGATTTCAGTATAATTTGCATGAATTTAGGTTTTGGTTGTGATTATGCGAATTTACGTTGAGGTGTTTTTTGCGAATTTTGCTCGATTAAGTTGGTAATTGCTCGATTCTGTTGTGATTCTATTGTTGTTTAGCTTTGCTTTTGAGTATTGTTATATTTTACATAATACTTCTTTTGAACGGTAATCCAAACACTCAAACCCCTGTTTTACTTGTTTATTTTGATTTTCGTTTAATTCTGCTGAATTTCTTTTTATTTCTTCTATGTTTACTTTGTTTATTTTTGTAGATTTCAGTATTTTTTTCGGTTTTTTAGAGGAATTATCAATTTGATTTTAGTTTTATAGTGTATGGATTTAGATTTTGTTGTGTATTTGTGAAATTGTGTTGTTGTTGTATCCTACAATGTTGCTTGAATTGTTGCGATTTTTGCTTGATTTTGTTGCTATTTTTGCTCGATTTTGTTGTGAATATGTTGTGGTTTAGATTTTAGGTTTGGTTTTGAGTACTATTAAAGCTAGTATAAAACTTCCTTCGAATGGTAATACAAACACTTAAACCCCTGTTTTATTGGTTTTATTTTAATGTCATGGGGAATTAATCTATATGAAGTGTAGTTTGTCATGAGAGTATTTTGGACTTGAAATGTTGTCCTAGTCTGTAACTGATGAATTTGTAGTTGCAACTCAGTGTTTCTAGTGAGTGGATATGTTTGAAGGTTTTAATTGTTTTGGATAATAAGTTTTCTTGGTTTTGTTAATTAGATTAAGGCTATCTGCATGAGTTGTGAAAATTCATCACTTGCAGGGTTGACTGTTGGTTCATTTATGTGATGTCTACCTTTTTTTTAATAATTTTGCAGGGAGATCATCCAAAAGGATTCTGTTGCAGATGTTGGTGCATCTGGTGCTGCTGACGATGTCGGGTCATCAGGAGGTGGTGTCTTCGCTGCTGTTGAAGTTGGTTCATCTCGTCCTGCTGATGTTGGTGGTGATGTTGCTGTTGTTGGTGTCAGTACATCGGGTGTTGCTGCTGATGTAGGTTTAACAGGGGAGACAAATGGTTTAAAGTCTCATGTACATGGGACATTGCATAGTCGCATGTCACCGTCATCCATTGTGCAAGTAATGGAATCAATTTCTGATAACCAATTGAAAGCTATTAAGGACATAAGATTTGGGTCAATAGAGTATTTGAAGGTCACCCAACTGCCTTTGCAGTTAGGATTATTTTTGGTGCATCACTTTGATGCACACACATGTTCATTAAAAATTCCTAATTCTGATCCTTTCCCAATGAAGAACATGTGCACCAAGTGCTTGGATTGCCGATGGGAGGCATAGAGATGGACAAGAATAATTTTACTAGAAACAGTAATGTTGTCAAACAATGGAAGAAGCAATTCCAAAGCAACTCACTATCTATCAAGATAGGTGAGCTGAAAGAATTTTTGAAGGGACACAAGTCGGCTGGTGCAATGTTCAAAAGGAACTTCGTAGTTCTCTGTGTATCTACTTTGATGAATGGTAAACTTTTTTTTTATTTTGCTCATTTTCAATTTAGTTTGCTCATTTCCCATTTAAATTTATGTTTGTTCATTTTGTTTATGTTTATGTTTCTCATTTCTCATTTTCAATTTATGTTTGCTCATTTTTACTTTGTTTCCTCATTTTTGCTCATGTTTGCTTATTTAATTGATGTCTATGTCAGCCTCATTTAATTGATTTCTACCTTATTTTGCTCATGTTTGCTCTGTTCTAAACTCTTCTCTAGGCTGCTACCCTCAATCAGCCGACAACTTACTGTCTAGTTTTGATCATTTGCAAAGCAAACTGTTTGCTCTGGTCTACTGTTTGCTCATTTCCCATTTAAATTTCTGTTTGTTCATTTTGTTTATGTTTATGTTTCTCATTTCTCATTTTCAATTTATGTTTGCTCATTTTTACTTATGTTTGCTCATTTTTGCTCATGTTTGCTTATTTAATTGATGTCTATGTCAGCCTCATTTAATTGATGTCTACCTTATTTTGCTCATGTTTGCTCTGTTCTAAACTTTTCTCTATGGTGCTACCCTCAATCAGCCGACAACTTACTGTCTAGTTTTGATCATTTGCAAAGCAAACTGATTGCTCTGTTTGCTCTGGTCTACTGTTTGCTACTGTCTGGTTGTTGGTTATTAGTTGTTACTGTCTGGTTGTTAGTCAAACTGTTTACTTGGGTTGGGCGGTTGTTTATATTTGATGGAATTAATTCATGTCTAGCTTCTAGGATGAAAGAATATCACTGTCTATCTCATAGGGATCATAGTATATCACAAACAATACGATGCTCATTTGTCAAATGAGCAAATAATTATTTGCCCATTTTTCAACAACTTTTTTCCAACTTCTGCCTTTAATATAGTGATGATTAACCAATCTCAACCACAAGCTATCATTCATGTTTGCAATGTCCCATATGTATTTTCCCATGACAGCAACATTCCAACTGTTTGCTCTGTTTATTTTGCTCATTTCAATTTCTGTTGCTCATTACTCTTTTTGGTCATATTTTTTTTGTCAGGTAAACAAAATGTGAATATCAATTCTGATATTCTTACATTTTTGTCTGATGTTGATAAAATTAAGGATCTGAATTGGTCTATGTATATTCTTGACTGTCTAGTGAAGGGAAAGCTATTCCGGGAACAACTTCCAACTCGTTCTTTTCCCGGGTCGTTGTTGTTTCTTATGGTAATACTATAATTATTGTTTATTTTTAAAGTAGTATTTCTTATTTATTTGTTGATTTTTAATTTTTTAATTTTTTTATATTCTTGTTTGTAGTTTTTCTATGTAGATAAATTTGTACTTGAAGAAGTACGAGCTGCCCGTGAAATTCCAATCCTCAAAGGGTGGACAACAGCTATGTTGTCAACCCGTGAAAAATTGGAAGTATTTAAAGGAAGGTTTGGAACTATTCGGGGAAAAAAGGTTGATGTTGGTTCTTCAACCATGGGATTGCTTAAAATGGTATTTGACTATATTTTTTATTTTATTTTATTCTATTTCGTTTTATTTAAAGTAATTTCATTTTTAATTTTTTTTTATAGGAAAAAGTCGATTCTTCTGAAATGAAAGTTCAATTACGTGTGAATAAGGTAATCTTATGTACTGAAATTTAATTTTTTTTCATTTTCTAATAAGCAAGCAATTACTTGTTCGTTTTTGAAATGAGCAAATAATTTTGCTCATTTCAGAAATGAGCAACTTATAAAATTAAAACTGGTATTTCCCAGCCAAAGCTTTTATTTTACACCACAACAACGACAACAACAACAACACATCCATTTCAGCCACAATATTGACATCATTAGAAGGAAGCAAATTATGTTTTCAACCATTTCTAGAAAACAGGTTAGAGAACAGGTTAGCACTATATGTAAGCATGCCAAGAATTTAGTCCTAATTGGCTAATTACCATGCAAGCATAGTAGGTAAGGTGTAGTATGTAATTGTGGGTATAAGCTCATTTGTCAAATGAGGAAATTAAAATTTTATTATTTCCTAAAGATTATGCATTACACTAGACTACATATTACAACTACAGTTTATGCATGACATTGCTAGACTACAGATTATGCAATTACAACTACAACTACAACAACTTAGAATTTGTCAACACCAATCCTTGACTGCAGTAGCACATTGACTGGAGTTGAATGTTGAGTTACTAAACTGTTGCATGTCGAAGTCTGTTTATAAAGTCTCACATTCCATGGCTAGCCTAACATACAACTACACCACTCTAAAGGCAGAATGGGACACAAGTACATGCTAAAATACAAAATGTAATTAAGATCAAGAATAGCAACTTATGCAAACTATGATTACCCCTCAGACTAATAAATTTTATTTTCCTTGCTACCGTCACTGGTTGTTAGTCAAACTAGGTTTGTCTTATTAAATTTTCTAATTCTTTTTTTGCTTGATTTTAGGAAGAACCTGATCCAATTTCTACAAAAAATGAAGAAACTGAACAAGATCCAAAGAAGGTATTTATATATCAAAGGAACAAAACCTTCAGTGCTCATATGTAGTTTATATTACTTTGCTCATTTCACATCCAACTTGCTCATTTCATATTTTCTTTGCTCATTTCTTTTATATTCATCTTATTATGTAATTTTTTTTATTCTTTTTTTTTTTACAGAAATGTCATATGGAGCTTGCATTATTGAGTGTGTTCAAAGATGAGCAGTATTGGCAAGATGCTGCTGTAATCGAAGCATGGGATAAGTTTTCAAAATATCAGGAAATGATGCTAGGGTTGATCAACAGAAAGAATCACAACCAATAGATGTTTCTAGGATTGCTGCTGAGTGTGTTCAAATAGCCAGTGGTATATCAAATTCTGAAGCTCCTAGGGCTGCTGAACATGTGGTTAAAAAACTTGGAGAGTCAATTAGAAGATATAGTCTAAGAAGTTCAGTAGCCAAAGGAGGTGGTACTCCTTCATTCAGCCTAGGCATCTTTTCTCAAGAATCTGAATCTCAGGAGAAGTCCCCTAGCATTGCTGATGTTGCTCCTGTTGTAGCTCTTGTAGTTGGTCCTGTTGTTGCTGATGTTGGTGTTTCTACATCAATTGTTGCTGATGCTTTGCATGCTCAAGATGATCCAGTTGCACTTAAGAGAAAAGGAGATGCTGAAAATGAAAGTTCTATTCAAAAGAAAAAGCGTATAGTGCAACCATCATTGCAAATAAGATCTCCTTTTAAGTCTCGGGTTATCAACATTTATACACCATTAACAGCAGTTCAGAAAGGTGTTTTGGATTCAGTTTTTTCTGAGAAAAAAAATCGTTTGTAAGTATTTATTCAGTGTTTCAGTTCTAAAATTGGCAATTGACCTTAATTTTCTTTCTCACTTTACATATCTTTGATTGAAATTATTTTAACTTACCTAAATCTTATATGTAGTGATGCAGCGTTTTTATTGAAGGATGATCCTGAAAGTAAAGTGATGCTTTTTCAATTAGAAATGTTAAAAAATCAAGAAAAAATTCATGCTGATGTCATTAATGCATGGTCTGCTGTTCTGAATTATCAAGAGCAATACAGAGATGTCAATTCTAGTGGACGTTTCTTTTTCAGATGTAATGCAGTTGTAAGTTCAATGCATTCATGTTATTTTGTTTTATTTTTTTCATGTTCACTTTGCTCATTTCATATAAATTTTTATATTTGAATGTACATGTTTTGTATCTGCAAAAATTAAACATTTGACAAATGAGCAACAAACTATATGCTCATTTGACAAAATGAGCAACTAAGTATTTGCTCACTTGACAAATGAGTAGCTAATTATTTGCTCATCTGAACAATGAGCAAACAATAAATGATGATTATTGCATTTTATCTCTTTACTAACACACACTTATCAAAGAATAATCACACACACACACACACACACACACACACACACACACACACACACACACAAAATATTTTCAGAATCTAAAACTAGAACTAAAATCAAGGAACTCAATGCTTATTTGTGAAATAAGCAAACAATTCCTTGATTTTTTGCCAAATGAGAAAATAATTGAATGCTCATTTGTCAAATCAGCAAATAATTGAATGCTCATTTGTCAAATGAGCAAATAACTCAATGCTCATTTGACAAATGAGCAAATAAGTATTTAGGAAGCACAATACCAGCTCCAATGCTCCATGACATTAAGTTCAAAGAGAGAAGGGCAACCATATGGCACATCAAAATACAGACCATGGCAAGTTGAAATGAGCAAAAAACAATAATTGCTAAACAATAATAGTCATTTGCTCATTTTAAGTTTATTTTGCTCATTATATTTACTGCAGCCCCTGGCCCCTGGCCCCTGCACCCTTCCATCACCACCATCATCACCAACTTAATCTGCTCATTTTTTTAACCATACTAATTACTCCTTACAACATAACTCTTACACTCACTCTCACACACACAGACACACACACCCACACAGAGACATACACACACAGAGACACACACACACACAAAATATTTTCAGAATCTAAAACTAGAACTAAAATCAATGAACTCAATACTTATTTGTGAAATAAGCAAACAATTCCTTGATTTTTTGCCAAATGACTAAATAATTGAATGCTCATTTGTCAAATGAGCAAATAACTCAATGCTCATTTGACAAATAAAATATCTCTTGAGTACACCTTCATTAATATTCATCACTTTGTTCAAAGACATATATCTCTTGATTTCACATCAATTTGTTCAATTCTTATTTACTTTTTTCATTAATATTTATCTTATTTTTGTATTTTTTAGGATTGCCTTTTTCATTATGAAAACGGTAGTGCTCGAGAAAGGAATAAGATGTTCTATGATGTTGTGAAGTTCGAATTTAGCAGAACATTCATCTCAAAGAAAGATATTGACCTTTACTTTTTCCCGGTATATGAAAGTGGTCATTTTTATTTGGTATGTTTTAACACCACCACAGAGCGTGGTACTATAGAGGTTATTGATTACAAAGATGGTTCTAAAGAAAACAAGAAATTTCTTAAAAATCTGGTATGGCTCAAGATTTTGTTCTGTTTATATTTGTTCTGCCTGGTTTTGTTCTTATTTTAATTTATTTGTTTATTTTCAGAAAAGTGCATTTTCATATGTCATGGATGGTGAAGGAACAATACAAAGTCTTGTTTTATCAAAACAAATCAAGTCCATGGAATCTGTAGTGATTGATGTACCTTGGAAGTCTTCTGATGATACTCATTTGCATTGCGGTGTTGCAATGATGAGGCATATGGAAACTTATATGGGTATGCAAAAGTGGAATTCAGGTTTAAAGAAAAATAATGTAAGTCTTTTACATTTCATGCTTGTTGCAACTTAACCTATACTTACCTGTCAAACAGTAGAAGTTTCCATTAACCTATCATTCAGGCTACGTTCCTCTCATATGCATGCATTAAGCAATTACTTAACCTATACTTACCCTGAATTATTGTTTCATTTTTTTTTTTGCAGCACATTATCATTGAAAAACTTCGTTTGAAGTATACTCTGTCAATTATTTCAAGTGAAGTAAATATTGTTGAACCTGTTAAACAAACTGTCCTAAAGAGATAACAGGCTGAGAAATGAAGTCATACCAAAAGGCAGGGGCAGCAATCCAGCAGCATTCAAATTGATTGAAGACTAAAGTTCAATTGTTATGATGTAATTAGACTGAAGTTCAATTGGTCATTTTTTTAAAACAGTAGAAGTGTTAGTTTTATAACTTTTGGTATACCTTTTGTTAACTTTTGGTATAAGTTTGTTAACTTTTGGTATAACTTTTTGTAAAACAGTAGAAGTTTAAGTTCAATTGTTATGTGACAATTGTATAATTTTTGGTATGTATATGTACTAGAGATAATTTTCTAAAATTGACCTTATTAAATATGCTTTGGCTCATTTATTTGATTTTCATTTAGCTATTTGATCATGTGACAAAATCAGCAAAAATTTAATTGTTCATTTGCCAAATGAGCAACAAACTATTTGCTCATTTGCCAAATGAGCAACAAACTATTTGCTCATTTGACAAATGAGCAACAAATTATTTGCTCATTTGCCATATGAGCAATAAACTATTTGCTCATTTGACAAATGAGCAACAAATTATTTGCTCTGTTTGCAAGCCATATAAATTTTCAATCCCAAAAGAACATACTCAACCATTGTTAAACCTGTTAAACAAACTGTCCAAAAGAAAAAACAGGTATGATTTAATGTATGATTTAATGTATGATTTAAAAAATGTTAACTCATTTGACAAATGAGCAATTAACTATTTGCTCATTTCAACAAAATTAAAAACACAAAAATGCTATACTTATATTTATATAAAAATATTAATTTTTATTTATATAAAAGTATCATTACACTTTTTTTGGACAATTTCTAATATCATGATGACTCCATTCACCACAACCTCTGCATAATCTCTTCTTTTTTTGGTTTTGTTCTATAGCCTTCTCTTTTTCTCCCTTCAGCCTTTTTGCACTTCTACCTCTTGTTTCAACATTTGACTCATCAATCACAAGCTCTTTCTTTTTTGAATTCTCTTCATTTGATACATGAACTCCAGTTCCTTTATTCTTTGAAATTTTTGGAGGTTTAACAATTATCTCATTTGGCACACTAACTCCAATCAATAGCTCAAGGTCTTGTTCATTGTTGTTTGTACTTCCAGATGTTGTTTCATTAGTTCTTGCAGTCCTCTTAGCCTCCAAATCTTTTCTTATTCCTTGAAGATTTATCAAAAGGTCTTGAATATCTTCATCTTTGCCTTCTGCCAAACTTACACAACTGTGAATTTCTGACCATAAATCATTTAACAGTTTTTTCTTGTCAACTATATTAGCACATTGCTCCAATAGGTTTCTTCCCAAGTCAAAAATTGGTTTCTTCAATGCCAAAGTAGTCCATCTGTGTAGCATATACTGATCAGGAAGGGTTTCTAACCTTTTTGCTTTCCAAACCCAAATCATATGTCTACATGCAATTCCCAGTCTATAAAATAGCTTGCAAGAACATGTGGTGTCAAAGTTAATTGGATTAAACACTACATCAAATGTTCTAGCCCGATTTCCTTCACTTACTTTTGCAACTTCCAATCCATTTTCTTTCTTCAATTCATCAACGCCACAAGAAAAACAAGAAATTTCAACCTCATATTGAAATTCATAAAACACAGAGTTGGTATATAAATGCATTGCATGCTTTTCTATCCCTAGTGGTGTTTTGCACTCAGGATATTTGTGCTTTGAATCGTTATCATTCTGACCTTGTGTGTGTCTTTGGGCATCAATTGCAGCTTCATATCTCAAGTAAAACTCAACAAGTGACACGTGAGGATTGATAAAGGAGCAAAAAAAATTGTTTTCACTTTCAGATCTTAAAGTTGTACGCATTATACCTCCAAGGAACACATCTCTGAAATATGTCGGAATCCACTTGTCCCTTATCTTGTACATATAACCTAACCACTCATGTTCTTCTAAGTTGTATTCAACCATCACGTTGTTCCACCTTTCTTCAAACTCAGCATGTACAATTTCAAGATGCCAAACACAAGCACATAATTTTTTTAGGAAACCAGTTTCCTCTTGCATGATTGATTTCTCCACCTTATCAGGTAACTTTTTCATTATGTGCCACATACAGAAACGATGTTCAGTCTTCGTAAACACACTTGCAACAGCAATTTTCATTGTTGGATCCTGATCTGTGATCATACAATTAGGTTCATTCCCCCCATTGCCTTGAGAAATGATCTAAATAGCCATTCAAATGACACAATATCTTCCTTTGCTATGAAACCAGCAGCAAAAGTAATGCAACTCTTATGATGGTCAACCCCTGTAAATGGAGTAAACACCATATTGTACCTGTATACATATACAGATTAAATATAGTGTTGGCATACATCTACAAATCATCTACAAATATACAGATTAAACACCATTGTACCTGTATACATATACATATACATATACATATATTGACCAAATATTTTAATGCTCATTTGACAAATGATCAAATAATTTACTGCTCATTTGTCAAATGAGCTAATAACTTATTGCTCATTTGTGAAATAAGCCATGGTTATAACATAAAAAATGAATTGTGATTATTATGTATTACCTGTTGGTTTGGTAAGTGGTATCAAAGGATATCATATCCCCAAATAGTGCATAACTTTTTTTACAAAGGGGGTCTGCCCACAATGCTCTACAAAGACAATAATCTTCATCCATCTCATAATCAAAGAAAAAAGCGCTCCACATTAGCTTTTTGTTTGTAAAATTATCCACAAACATTTGAGCATCACTTCCTTGAATATGTATGCTTTCAAGTCTCGATGAAAATTTTTGAAATCTTGTTTAGATGCACCAATGTTATCATATCCTCCAACAATTTCCTTCATTATTCGAAAAGTTGTAACGGGACCAATATTCACCTATTTAAAGAACAAAACAGATTGATAAATGAACAAATAATTCAATGCGCAATAATAAATTCTCAAACAAATTAGCAAATAATTATTATACATGAAACATAACAAACTTTAAAAGTGTTACCTTAGAGTTATTCACAATTATTTTTTTATGCAACATGTTCATTTTCCTGCCTTCTTTTTGGAAGAGATTGCAACTGGGTGTATATAGTGCATGTGTATGTCCCTCATGAAATTGTGACACTATGAATTTGTTATCATCACAATGCTTTATGACAATATGTGCCTTACACCCAACACGGATAACAAGTCTTTTCCTTTTGATTGAAGCTTTATCTTCATTGCTTCCTCCTTCCCTGATATTTAAATCGTTTTTAGTAGTAGCCTTTCTGTTCTCTTTGTATCCTTCTTTATTGCATAAGATATATTGTGATTTCAATTCTTTGCTTCTTCTTTGTCTTTTAGTTGTAGACTTTCTTGTGTTGAATCCAGCAGCAAATACATAACTTTTATAAAACTCAAGGCCTTCTTCAAGATTATTAAACTTCATACCTAAAGCTGGTTTCAACTCATTGGGGCATATCGGAAGCCATTCCTTTGTTCCTCCAGGAGTGAGGAAAGGTGCTACTTTAGGAGATACTACTATTGTAGGAGTACTTGGAACATTTGTGATGGTACTTGAATTATTGTCAAGTTGTTCGTTGTTCCCCGTCATTTCTGTTAACATTCTCACAAAATAATAACATGTGAATATGCATCTCCATAAAATCACTTCCACACAGACAAATTTTCAATGTCTAAAAAATTAAACAAACCTAGATATTTCAATGCTTATTTTGAAAAATGATCAAATAATTTACTGCTCATATGTCAAATGAGCTAATAATTCATTGCTCATTTGCTATTGCTCTTTGCTCAAATTAGCCAATAACTCATTGCTCATTTTCTCATTTGTTATTTGTCAAATGTTTATCATGGTTATAACATAGGGTTTGGGTCAAATAAAGCATAACTTTTTTGCTCATTTTTTTTTTCGGATTTGCTCATTTTAAAATTAAGGTCTAAAAAATTAATCAAACCTAAATTATTGATTCAATTCGAAATTGCAGAAATGAAGTAAATATAATCAAAAATCAAAAATTATCAAGCAATAAACATGCAAATCAATTATCATTTTCTCACAAGCATTTTATCAAACACCTTGTATGCATTGATAATTACAAACACCTTGTTCAAAATTGATTTTTGTATCATACAATTAACATTGCAATTTTCATATACTAAGATTAACAAGCACTTTATTTGTACTCAAATCGAAAATTTCTCATTGAATTTTAATGAGTATAAAAAAATTTCAAAATTTTAACAAAAAATTTCCAAAATTTTATCGAAAATAATATACAAAACTAAAAGAATTACATACCTTATGGAAATTGATAATTGATACTCGCGAAAGAGAATAGGAATTTCGCTGAGAAATTGAATAACTAATGGCTGAAATTGTTTGGAATCGCCATGCATATCGCCATGAAATCGCTGAGAAAATTTTGTGGCTAATTTGTGTTGTTTGTTTGGTGGCTAATTTGTGTTTTTTTGATAATTACATTATTATCATTATGAATGTCACAATTTCAGCTGTTGGATTAAGACAATCTAATGGCTCATATTTGTCACATAATAGATTGGTCTCGCAAAAGGGGTGGTTCTCACCGGATCCTGACCCTATATATATATATATATATATATATATATATAACATTGAAATTTAAAGTTTCAAGAAAAAAGACCAATATACCCCAATATATTTTTGATAAACACATATCGGATATGTACCCAAAATACTTGAAAGATACAGTCTTTGGGTTGTTTGTTGGTTCTTTTTATCTTCATTTTAACTAAATTATAAATTTTAAAATGCTTTGTAATTTAGTGTAGCTTTAAGATTTATTGTTGTTCTTTAAAAAAAAGATTCACTGTTAAATAGTGTACTTCATTTGTTCGTT